ATTGTGTTATATTATATTATACTATATTATACGAGAAAAAATCTATATATGTCTATATATTTACTATTTAATATTATATATATTTATACATTGTATATTATACGTTACATTCTACATTAAGTATTAATTTGTATACTATAACTAAATATTATACATTTTCTTCCTATCTTTAATATTGTTTATATGCTACATATTATATATTGGTATTGTGTAGTGTATATTTTGCATTTTATATTATCTGTTAAATTTATACCTATATAGCAAATCAAACGTTCTATGCTATATTCTCTGCGGTATTGTTTTGTATTATATATTGCATATTGCATATTACAGGTCATATGTTATACGTCATAAAACATGTGCTACAAATTCAACATGTTCTGCATATTCAAAATATTCAGTATATTGAATGCATTCTATGCATTCTGTACATACTATATCTTCAATCTACATACATCATATGATGCGTAAAATATATATTATAGTCATTACTATTGCATATTATATGTTATGTATGTTGTGTGTCATATACTTTGTCTTCTGTTCCGGATTCTCTATATTCTGTTTATATTCTACATGCTCTATTTCTTCTATATATTCTACATATTCCAAAGAGTCTCTATATTCTATGTAATCTATATATTCTATATACTCTATGTGCTCTACATGTTCTCCGTATTCTATATTTTCTATAAGTTCTACATATTCCATATGTTCTATAAATTCTACATATTCTGTATCTTCTATAAACTTTAGCTATATACTATCATTCTTAGAATAATATGTTATATATTATGCACTATAGGTTATATACATTAAAAATATACTATATACCTGGTATCAGTGTTAAAAACACTATATTGTATATAACGCATCACATACTGCTTTTTGTATTTGAGAGTTTACATTATCTCTTCCTGTCGCTCAAGCGCTGTCGTTCCTGAGAAGCACGCAGCTGTCGTGCCAGAGGCAGATGAACATCTTCGAGCTTGCTCTGAACCGCCGCTTCCTGCTAGGCGACTCGATGCCATCGTGGCATTTGTGGTGATTCTGGGCCGCCTTCGCTGAATCGATGTCAACAAGGCCGCGCCCGAAAGACTGAAGCCTGAGCTCAAGGGAACCGACTTGGCTGGGCTGGGCGTTTCGGAGGCACGGACGCCACAAGCCACCTCTTGCCATCTGCCTGACAGAGAGACGACGGCCCCTTCCGTTCGGCACCGTGCCCAGGGCCTTCCACCACAGACTGGCGACGAGAGTTGAAAGAAGAATGGAAGACAAAGTTCCAGAGACCTTGCCAGCCACCACACAAAAACAACCGCGAATCTGAAACTCCAGGAAGCAGTGCAGATATGCAGATGCCACAGCATGACCCGGGAATCAGATAAGCTGCACCCTCTTCCAGGACTCGCCATGCATCCATTCTAGAGGCAATGAGTGCAGACACAGATGCAGCAGAGAGTGTCTACTCTTGCGTAAGATGTCTCCTGCCTAGTTGCTCAGATCGACAGCTCGGCTACAGAGTCAACAGTAAATTAGACTGGTGATACTTCGAGCAGCTGGAAGAAGCAAGAAGTTCTAGCACATCGAGCTTCAATTCACACCAGCACCTGCTTCCAGAAAGAAGCATCGATTTCACCAGTAGCAGATATATAGCAGGTGGAGTCACGCACACACATATATATATACATATATGTATATATATATATGTGTATATATATATATGTACAAAAAATGTGTGTATATATGTATATATATATATACACATATATATATATATGCATATACGCATAGTAAGAACACCTATTTCCAGCACCTTCGGAAGGTCTGCTAGTTGAGGCCACCGATTTTTTGTCGGGCGCTGATCTCAAAGCTTTGAGCTCACTTCGCCGGGAGCCGAGCCCTGTCGGAAACTCTCTCAGAGACTTGGCAGAATTATCCGGGCGACTCGACTGCATTAGACACAGACTCCAGGCAGTGCGGCCTGCATAGCGCCCAAACAGAGCTGCAGCGGAGACATGCCACACGGGATACACAGGCTCACTATGACCTCGGCTGGGAGAGTGCAGGTAGAATGACCTACCACGATCTTTGCTCGCTGCGATTCCCAGGGGCGCATGTAATCAGGAAGCAGGAGAAGCCCACAACCACATCCTGACAGTCACGAGGAATACTTGCGAAGGATATTGTAATTTCGGCCGGGCCACGGAATTCGCAAGGCACCAGTCATTAAACCTCAGAGACGAAAGCTGCGTATATGGAAGATGTGGTCTTCTTACCTCCTCTAACTCAGAAGCCGTTCTTTTGCGAGCGGCGATGCTGTGCTGGAGATTCTGTGGCTCACATCTTTCCTGAGAGAAAGGCAGACTCGTGCTCACATGGTGCGCCCGCCACCAGCATCTTCAGTCTGGTTTCGACATCAATCGTTGACGCAGTGCCTCGCTTTCAACCTGGCATCAACAAACCGCGCTTTAGATGCACCTTGATTGCTGCAGATGGCTATGACTCACAATGACAACATGATGAAGTGTGAGACCCGCAATGTTGTAGCCGGCATTAGTATATCATGTTCCGTAGCTTTGGCACAGCTGGTTGCACATGCGACAACATGTTCTGCGTGTGCCAAAATAACTTCTCCCAATTCGTAGCCATGGTTCTGTCTGCACGGTAGAGCTCCAACCTATGACGACCTCGAATACGAATACTCTCGGAGCCTACCATTAACCCTCGGGACGTGATGTTCCACACAATACGAAACGGCAACCCCTCATCACCTGCAACGCTCGAAGCCGGGGTGTCATCACCACCTGCGAACACTCTGTCAGGCAGACGCCCTGAACTGTGATCCGTCAAAATTTGCCTCCAGCGCATGCTCATCCATGTGTGGCCGCAGCCTGTAGCTGTTGCAGCTTGGAGGGATCAAGAAACGAATGTGGAACCACATAGGACGCCGACCCTGTTTCGCGCTCCAACATCTGCTCGTATCTGCGATTCGGAGGAGACGGAATGGATCTGGAAGCTTCCACAAAGCTGCCAGAATTAAGGAGAAATGGTGCAATTTGAGGTGTTGCTCGGGGCCCTGTTTACGTACACGATCAAAACGTGACGCACCTCGCTGCACCCACAGCTGCATCGCCTGGTCTGAGACCGGCCTCCGTCGTGGCCTTATACTCAGGAGCTCTAAACCCTAAACTTTAAACAACCCTGATTCCCTTAACCCTAACACGGAACGGCGACTCGTCAACGCCCAGTCGTGAATGACACAGCATTGGTGGACTTTTCAATCAGGAGAATCTGCGGAACAAACGCAAAAGAAGCTTGCCCTTTCTTGAAGAGCCTTCTGATTCATGGCGCCTGTTCGCAACTCCAACTGAGACAAACCATGCAAGACTGATGCTTGCTTCGATTCGATGGAAAAAGAAGTTTGACATTGAACCAACTGCCTTGCCTTGCATCCTGTCTCTTCACTCGACCCTAAGCTCAGCCGCGAAACTGATGGGGCCTCTTTGCACCGACGTCAGCACCCCGCGCAACCCGTCGACATCACGAAAGAAACAAAAGAACGTCTGTAAACATCAGCTCCGATACTTCTTCCTTGGACAGGTGCGGAAGCCAGAAGAACCAACAGAAATCGGCCCAAGTGTGGAGCGAATCTGTCTCCTCTTGTTCACTCTAACTTCCTGTCGGTTTCTGGCAGATGCATGCACTCAGCCGAGACGCCACTGAGTCAGCAGGCATCGAGACTTGGTCACGAAAGCCTCAAAGTTGCAAGCCGTCCATCGTGCAGCCTCTTCAACTGCATTGCGACATCTGAGGCCATGTCTGGAAGATGCCTCGCACATGGGAGACTCAGAGTGAGCATGGACCCTTAAAGCAGCAAGCCTTTACTAGTATCAAGGATGTTTCTTCCAACCAAGTAGGCCCGTGCTAAGCTCGCATCGACGCGACGGCAGTCACGAATCTAGGGGAAACAGCCCACCAAGCCAAAGTTTGTTCTGGAGTTTCCTATGCCGGGGACTGCACAAGGATGGCACAGCAGCAGCAGCAGCAGCAGCAGCAGTGAGCATTCTCCAGAGCGATCCACTTTGGAGATCTTTAAACACTCCAGCTCTGACCGGGGCCATGGGTAGAGAACGCGAACGGAGAAAGATGCTGGGAAGCAACTCCTTGTGATGCTTCAAGACATGGCTACAAAGCTAAGGCTAAGGCAAAGCAGGCCTGTGGCGGGAAGATGCACCGGCCCGTGTTGCGCTGCTGAATTCTGGAACTCTCTACACTGCACAATTACAAGCTTACGACTCTTGTGACAGGCGCGCAGCACCCTGTTGTGTAGCGAGGCAAAGGCAGACTACGAAAATGCCAGGCGCGGGTATCCGAAGGCATCGGTATTGCTGATGACGAGCCTTGTGACTCTTTGCGCTTTTTGCAAAGGATATGGCGAAGGATATTCTGTTCGCGCTCCAATCGAGATTACATGTTCCCAGGTACTGAACGGTGAAGGGGTGGAGGGGTGAGAGGTGGAGGGGGGGTGGTGGAACTGCAAACTCTCGCCTGCATGCACGAATATGGGGCGCCGCAAACACAAAATGCACCAAGTCCGCAAATAACACACTCCGTGAATTCTTCCTTGCTCGAGTCTTTCCTTCTGCTTCTACATCAAAGACATCACAAGCACAATAGTGACTCCTTGGCTTCCCTCTCTAGTGACCTTGATACTGCAGGACACTTGAATTCATGCATGTACCGGAGATTCACCGGAAGCCTGAACATGTCAAGAACGAATGGGCTTGGGGCACCAGTATCGCAATCAGGGCAAACATGACATTGCCGACCAGATCAGTTCTGGGTTCTGCCTCGTCGCCCACATCGAATCCTGTTTGCCTGCACACCATGCCATATTCGACCAATGCGGCACTGGATTTGAAGTGTCTGCAAATCAGGCCGCTCACACTGGTCACTGGCCACCAAGCGGCAGGAGCCAAACCATATCCACATCGCTGGTATAGGACAGTTCCTTTTCCTGGCACCCCAACACACTATTCTGAAGCTCTACTTGGCTAGACAACAGCTCGAACACATGCCGCAGCGACCGGTCGCCAATGGGTAGCTCCATCTGCTGACTCCTCCGAACAGAAGGCCGCCTCTTGCGCACATTGCGCACATGCCTCAAGTGAGACCACTTGCACACTTGCATATGGAGTCTTTTGAAGGCAATCTGTCCGTGGTAATGATCAAATGCATCAGCAATGTGCAGCGGTTGCAGCCACGGCCAGCCACGCTGCAGCACTCATGGCGGAGCAGATGATAGCAGATGTAGATTGGCAGCTCTCTCGTTGCAGCAGACTTATTTGACATGAAGGGCTGGATACAGGCTCGAAGGGTAAGGGATGCTAGTGACAGTACCAAGCAAGAGAGCTGCCACTCGGTTCGGTTCGTTTGCACTCGACACGCAAAGGCTGCAGGAATGCAGGCTTCATCTGAAAGTTGCAATGCAGATGAATGCGCGATTGAGCGTAAAGGCAAGCACGACACGCTTCAAAAAGTTTAAATTCAGCACAAGACAAGCACACGAGAAAATGTCAGCAAATCTCGTCTTAGGCAGATCGAGACAGGTGAAACACACTAGTCCCACTCAGTCATTCGCAGGGGTGCCTTGCTCGATGACCGACATCATCACAAGAGTCTTGTTACAACATGTTGGCAAAATCTCAACAGCATGAGCAAGCATGCTGGAATGGCATCGAGCAAACTGCCTTATTCACTTGCTGGGAAACCATAACGAACCGTGAAACAGACTGCACACATGTTTTAATGAATGAATCCGACCAACCTTGGCCCAGCATGAACATGCACAAAGGAACCTGACTTAGCATGAGCTACAGGGAACTCATGAACGACCACAGCCTTCCACCCGAAACCCGCGATGAGAAGAACACCAGGAACGCATCAAAACCATTACACAAGGGGTATTTTATAAGGGGTACTATAGAATTGTACTATATAAGGTCACTAAAACCATATAAGGGCACTATCTCAATACTGAGCACTTGGCAACCTCCGTGGCCTTGGCCCTGAGAGTGGGATCGTTGTAAGACCTTGAGGCATGCTCGGTGCCGCGGCTGCTGAGTGCTACTGCTGCTACTGCTACTACTAACTAATTCTGCTGCTGCTTGCTAAGGCTGCTACTGCGACTACTACTACTACGACTACCACTACCACTACCACTACCGCTACCACTACCACTACCATTACCACCACTACCACTACCATTACCACCACTACTACTACTACTACTACTACTACTACTACGACTACTACTACTACTACTACTACTCCTGCTGCTCCTACTCCTACTCCTACTCCTACTCCTACTCCTACTCCTACTCCTACTCCTACCCTACTCCTACTCCTACTCCTACTCCTACTCCTATTCCTATTCCTACTCCTACTCCTACTCCTACTCCTACTCCTCCACCTCCTGCTGGGACTGCGACCACGACGCTGCTACTGCTTCTGCCACTGCTACTACTGCGACGGATACGAGTACGACTGCGACTACGACTACGGCTGCACGAACGCCACTACGACAACGACATCTATAATCACTAACATGACTACCACCAGAACTGCTACTACCTGTCCTGGCTCTATCACCTGTATCGATAAGTTAGATTCATGTTGTCGCCACCACCGCCACCACCATCATCATCATGATCATCATCACCAGTTGTGTTTTCTGTTTCTGCTCGCATCACAGCCGCTGCCAATGCTGCTGATGCCGCTTGGATGATCGCTTTGTCACTACATCGTCACTACACTAGGGTTGCTATTCATGTAGACTCCTGTTTGATACACTTCCCGTGAGAAGAAGATAATACTACTACAGCCCTGAATGAATGAAAGAGCGCGTGTGATCATCCCTTCCCTCAACCTTAAACTCCTTGAACTTCTAGGGAAATGAATTCGCCATTGAAGTCATGAGTTGCAATTGCAACTGGTACCCAAAACCTGAACTCCACTGTTTGAAGGACGCGTAAGCACAAAGTCACCACCAGTTGCTGTTGCAATCAAAGGCTATGCCTTGGAGTTCCAGTTGTTGGGTCCGGGCGGCTGCGTCGACGCTCGCTCGGCATTTTCAGGGTCATGGACAGACAGAACAACAAATCGAGCCAACGAACCTAAACCCAAATCTTCAAGCCCTACACCCCTAAACCCCTAAACACTGACCCTAAACCCCACGCCTCGAGATCTTTGTGTAGGGTCAAAGCCCTAAACCCTAGAACCCTAAAGCCCTAAACCTAAACCCTACACCTGAAACCCCTGAACCTAGACTGCAAGCCCTCGTTGGGGTTTTGGGTTTAGGGAGACCTGTTTGATGAAGTGAACAACTACAACGATCAACGATAACTTGTTATTTTTTTGCGACATAACCGTAACCCCAAAGCCTCAATTGCACGCCGAATAAAAGAACTGCGTGAAACCTGTAGCCACCGTGCAGTTCTTTCGACATATGTTTCACAACTCCATAGATGCCGACAAAAGTCAAAATGAATCCCTCTAAGAATTATAAGCTTGATAAATCCCGTAATTCCTGAATCCCTAGATCCCCTTAGGGGAATCCTTATATGACATTTTAGAGGCTTGCAAAACTCTGCAAGCCCTGTTTCTGATAGTGCCTTAAACCGCAAATCCTAAAACCCTAACTCACTCTGAGCTTAGCCAAGGAGCCGGATGAGGAGATGAGCCCCGGATCGTCCCGGCCGGAAACCACGGAAGGGGGGGGGAGATAATTAGGCTTTGGGGTTTGGGTCTTAGGGTCTTGGGGTTCAGGGCTGAGGGTTTAGGATTGGAGTTTTAGATGAGGGGTTTCGGGTTCAGGGGGTGTCAAGATCCTGATTTGTAGTGGTTGTTTTGGAGTGTGGCTTTGGTTCATAGATGGGTCTGGTCCAACCAGAAACGAGCTATCCCCCAGTGAGAAAGCACTACCACTAAGACTACTACTTCTACTACGACGACGACGACTACTACTACTAGTGCCACTACTCCATGTCGCTTCCCTCTGTCCCGACAGCGCAGCCAGAGACGCCGAGACGCTACCGGTCGCGTGCTGGCGTGATCACGGCCACGAGGGATACGGAGGAGCTCGATCACCATTGGCAAGCTACGCAACTTGCAGTTTGCAACATTCCGCTTCGAGCGTCTAACCTACAGATCCATGCGGAGCTTGATGTGAAGGAGCCGCTCGGAGATGAACCGGACTGCACAGTTCTCTACGTTGCGCTTTGGTTCGAAGCCAGAAGGTTCCCGACACTGCGACGGTACTTGCAACTACACACGAGCGTGTAGGTTTGGGTGTGCCCCCAAAAGTCCTAAAGTTTTAGAGTTTTCGGTGGTGGAGTACCCTAGAACATGGGCCCTGAGTCCTGTAGGGGATAAAATGGTACGAAGCCCCACCGACCCAACCCTTCTTGGCACGACGCGGACAAGCCCCTACAAGGCTCCGCCACCCTAAACCCTGAACCCTAAACCCTGAACCCTAAGCCCTAAACCCTGAACCCTGAACCCTAAAGGCCCTAAACCCTGAACCCTAAAGGCCCTAAAGGCCCTAAAGGCCCTAAACCACCAAACTTTTGACTTGAGCATCGGCCTCAGCCCGGCCCAGCTTAGGGCGAAGAAGCAGAAGCTCCGCCCGGGAAACCGGGCAGCCAAAGCCGAGACTTTAAGCGAGCCCAGGGTTTAGGGGTTTAGGAGTTTATCTGTTTAGGGTGTAGGGTTTGGGGTTTGGGGTTTAGGGATTTAGGGTTTAGGGTTTGGGGTTTAGGGTTTAGGGTTACCCAGAGTGTCCAAATGCATCGTGGCGACCGAACGTGGCGGAAGCAGGCGCTATGGCAGTCTTGCGGCAGGACAGGAGAGTCCTCGGAACCCTTCTCCCGGCCCAGAACTTAGGGGCTGAGCAGGTAACCTTTAACCGTTTGGGGCTTATATAAACCTATTTTTATTCAGAAGGTTAACCTTTTTTGGGCTAAGCTACTCGGCCCCTAAGCCAAAACGGTTCTGTGAAGGGTTTAGTTTTTTTGGACCGAACAATATCCAGAACCAGGATGCTCAGAGATACTGTTGCTGATATAAATCCTCCATGACCTTAAGGACCCTAAACTATGGGAGTTATGGTATATACCGTATTATGGGTGATGCAGGATTTGTTTTTTATCATCAACAGTATATATATATATAACCGCCTGGCCTGATATCCCTCCGAGGCCCTCGAGTGACGCCCCTCTTTGCAGCTGCAACCGCATCCTTCAAGAGCGCCACTTCATGAAGGCCTCTCAAGAAGATCCCTGGTAGTGATTTCAGGTTTCGGATTGTTGGTTTCAGGGCATCTTTGTAGGTTTGGATTCTACACAATGCTTTTCTGGGTTAATTACCAGGCTTTCTCAATCGCTTTTCAGTGTACTGCATAGTTTTGTAGGGTTCCAATAGTTCCAATTATGTTTGAATTTTGCAGCTCATTTGTAAGGAGTTCTATAAAATTTGCCTGGTCGTGATGGGTATCAGTTTAGTTTTTGTTCCTGGCTTCCGGGCTTCTTCGTTTAGATTAACGTTAAGTTCACGACGACATCCCTTGGTGTCGCAGAGATGGTCGGATGTAAGGTAGGCCACTGATTCAGAAACCGTGTGTCGTTCAGCTTGAGGGCCATACAAGCGAAGCTGACTGATTTGTCGGGGGCCGACATTACGATTTTCGAGAATCGAGTTCAGAGTTTCTTGCCATCCATTGTAGGTCCTGGGTTAGTCAGAAACCTTGTTACCGGACGAAAGGATCCGCACCAGAGAACCGTTAACAAAAACCGAGCTACATTGGAGTGCTGGCTTTCTTCGATGGTCGTGGTTTAAGGGTTCATGCTGAGGACGGGGCAAATGACGGCTGCAGGTGTTACTAGAGGCCCCTTGCGAAACAACACCGCCACGCCCGACCCACCACCGCCGTTATCATGGTGATAGTTTGTCCCGTCGTCTTTATACTAATATACGATCACCAGTTTCGCTTTTTTACAATGCACAAGCAGCTGCATGCTACCTCAGTTGCCATCTACATTTCTGCTCATCATAAGATTACGATCATCATGACTAACCATCGCCGTCATCATCGGATGATCAATCACAATCTTGGTCTTTGCTACCGAGCGATATGATGCGGCACCCTAGAGACGTTGAGCGGCATGTACATCGATTCGAAACTTCAAGAGAGGACACCCTTCAGTGGATCAGAGCTGTCTTCTGATGTGTT